TTACCTTAGAGTGCAGATATTGTTTTTTTAAAGAGTGTKTTGTTTTATCTCATTAATAGTAAATTAAGTGGGTAATCTTTAAAAAAGAAAAGTCACCAAAGTTAGGCTTTGTGATTATTATTTTTAAATTATTTTTTGGTACTAAAAGGGTAAAGATCAAAGGAGACTCATCAGGGTTATGTGTGTTTAAGGTGGGGAATTGGATGATGTGGGCAGTGTAGAAGGATCTGGAAGGATTATTGATGGATTGGATGTGGCGGTGGTAAAAAGGCAGAGTTGGGGACAACGTTTAGGTTTAGGGCTCAAGCAACTGAAGGGGACACTGGTGTCATTTAAGGAGGTGCCAAAGACTGGGAAGGGTTGGATTTGAGGACTGATACTTAGGTTTGATTAGGATAAACTTTCCACATGATTGCAGCGTCTGAGTGGGGCTGTAAGATGGATAACGGCTGAAGCTCATGACAGAAAGCAGGCCTGAGAATGGATGGGTTGACCCAGTCAGAAAATGTGGCCCAGGGAGCGTTCCTGGTCACTTCCATGTGAAGCTGGGTAGGGGGGTGAATCCAGYAAAAGAGGATGAGCAGCCGTGAGCAGGAGGGAACAAGGGTTTTGCAGCATTACAGAGGACAAGAGTCAGAGCAGGTACCTGCACACACAGGTCTAAATCCCAGAAAGGTGCACCTCGAAATGTCACCTGCCGTCATTTTCAGTGGTGATATTTTGGGTGAATTAACTTTCTATCTTTGGCTGTTCTGAATGTTTATCATTCATTGCAAAATACGAATTACTCTTGTGTGATAAGCTAAAACAATACCCAAGTTTACAAAGAGTTAAACTTTTTCCTTTTCCCAACTTTCCAGGTAGGAAGTAGGGGATGAATAAAAGGTAAAAGCCATGTGCCAGCCCCCCCTCTGTGTTAAATTAGGAAAACAATTTTCATGGAAGTCAAATCAAATAGATTTTGTTCCATCTTATTGGCTGGAGCTGGGTCCCAGGGCCTACCCTAATTGCCAGGGTGAGTGCATGCAGTTCCTCTCTGAGGAGGTGAAAATGTGAGCATGTTACTTACTGTTACCATCCTCTCTTTATAAAAATAGGGTGGGTGCTGTTACTAAGGAAACAGGGGAGAATAGACATTGGATAGGTAACTGGCAATGTCTGCCGTGCCTGAGTTAAATTGCATGCGATGTACACAGCAGAAAATAGATCACATAGTGATCCTGTCTGCTGTTCTTCTCAATGGGCATGAACCCTGGGGTTTGGGTGGAACGGGAGAATCTCTTGCTTCATACTACTCCCTGCTCCATGGACAGCAGCTCATACCCACCTCTTATGGGCATCTAATTGGGCTGAATGTCAAAGTCTGGTTATTAACATGTAATTTTCATACAGCGTGTGCCCTAAAGCCAAGCCAGCTCTATCAACAGAGGGCTGCCTTTCCTCCAACATCAGAAAGAAAAACAAAACAATAACAACAACAACTACAAAAAAACACTCACTGTAGGACCGTAGGGACATGGCATGCACACCTTCCAGATGATGGCAGATGTTTAAAACATTTTCTAGTGTAATTTTGACCTGGGGCAGTTTCCATCTAGCTGGAACTTTAGCTCTCAGCAACCACATAGCCATGCAACTTCTGTGTGTGAGTTAGTGACATAATTGGGAAAAAGGAGTGGCATTCATATTGGCTTATGAAATGTTAAGGGACCAAGAGGTGATAGCTGAGCTTCAACTAATTATTGTGCTCCTTTTCCTTTTCCACCAGTCTGAACCACCTGAAGAAGATGATAAAAATGTCTTTGCCATTGGCTGAAACCACAGAAGCCATACTGTAAAGCTCTGTGCTCATTCTGTTTGCTCCACCTGGGAACTCTTGACTTAGAATAAAATATGCTAGTAGTTTGCAATTTTGGTGTTGCTCATTTGTTCACAAAAGTTAACCTTTGTATCAGAAATTGCTCAGATAATAGAAAGTTCAGGACATTCAGTAATTTCAAGGGATGTTGCTTTTTCTTATGATTTTGAAAGTCAACTTGATTTTTTACTTGCATAATGTCTTCAAATTTTGTGCAAATCATAACTTCAGCATTTATCTAAATATGTTTTGGTATATTTGCTTATATGAGGAATTTAATTTGAAAATAATGAAAATAGCTCAGGTAACAATGGTGGTATGTTTTGAAAATAAAGTTGTTAGGAGGATCCATTTGATCTGCACATATTTTACTTTCAGTGATTTAACAAAAGCATCTTTAGCAGAGAAGAAATATTCACGTGATAATTGCTAACTGTTCTCATGAAGTTTGAGTGTATGAATCTTATGTATGAAAGCATTTGAATATACTTTAGAGAAATCTGCATAATTTAAGACTATCTACAAAGTAATTTAGTTTATAATTGGATAAATTAAAGAGTGCAGACTGAACAATTTACTGTGTAATGCAAGTTAGTTAGATGTAGCTTATTATAAATTGCCTAAAACAGATGTTTAGAACCCCAATTTTATTGTCATCTTTTTCTTCTAGATTTTCATCCCCTGTTCTGGGGATGGAACCCAGGAACCCTGTGTGTGCTGGGCAAGCACATTCTACCATTGAGCTATACCCCAGCCCTACTTCTTTAGAATTTTTTTAATGAGCTATGTTTTAGTCCATTATTGTAAGCTTTAAAGAGCATAAGAACACCTGTTTTTTATGTCCACAGAATTTGTGAAGTTAACTAACCTTATTTTATTTAGGTGTGTCTAGTTTGAGACTCACGGTTTCTGATAACTTGGAGTTTTATGAATTTCCATGCTATCGCACTGACTGTCCCCATTGAAGGATATCTTAGGAATTTATATGGTTTCCAGTGACTAGGGAGCATATATTTGAGCACTGTAAAAATCCTTGAGTTAAACTTACATGAAGGATGTTAGGATGGATAAGACATGATTTTGGCTATTAAGAACTCAGTCTGCAGAAGACAGTAAGATGTCAAGGTTAATGTACATCAAGGCTGTGTGACTTGTGCCATCAATAAGGTGTAAGCTGAGCCCTATCAGGGCTGACAGAGGGTGAGGTCAATTTTGTTGGGTGATTGGAAATGGATTCCTGGAAGAGAGGTACCATTTGAAATAGATCTTGAAGGATGGGGAGGATTTTTTTCTAGGATGAGAGAAGAGAGACTAATATGAATATAGAAACAGAAAAATGCATAATTTGAGGCATGATACTATGGAGTATGAGTGGAAATTAAATTTTGCTAGGCCCAAACTTGGGCCTACTCTGTGGGTCAGAACTTTGGGTAGGGAATGAGAGAATGAACACGGTGCTTCAGGGAGACTAACCTGGTAGCAGCGTGAAGGCTGAATTCCACATACTGGGGGAGACTGTTGCAGCAATAAAAACCTCAACTAGAATAGAATTCTGGGAATGTAAAAGAGGAGGCGGATATGAGCAACTAGGGCAGGTGAAGGCTTGAACAGATTTTGAGGCTGGATTGATGAAGGTGCAAAAACTACAAGCTTGAACAACCACGGGGGTGAGGGACATCTCTTATAAAACATCCCCAAGGGTTCAGTTATGTCTTATTTAGCAAATCGTCATGGAGCCCTTGCTGTATGATGGGAATTCAGTGTTGATAGCCCTTGGGGGGCCAGCAGTCCCATGGGGAGCTGGATGTTAGTGAAACAGTCACACAAATGGACATAGAAGGCAGCTTTGCAGGGTGCGCTGCCGTGCCCGGGCCCAGCCTACACAGGGGTAGGAATGTTGGGTAGTGTTGGATAGTGGAATGTGGGCATGATGCGCTGCATTGGGCAGCGTGGAGAGAAGGCTGGACCATCCAGCCCTCTGGGAAGCATCAGGTGTCTCACCCCAACCCTGGTGGCTGTGGTTGGCACTTCAGGTCTATTCCCAGCTGGGGACCAGTGCTGCCTTTCAATGGACCCACTTCTATGGAGGAATTGCCATTACTGTGTGTGGCTGCAGCCTTAGTGTCATTTYTGATGTTCTCCTGTGCTCTGAGCCTCACTTCCACAGCAGCTCTTGTATTTGCTTTGTCCTTGTGTCCCTGCTCACTGTCCCTGCAGAGCAGGTTGACCCCTGAGGTAAGCCAAGCAGATTGTTCCCTCTCTGAMCCTGCCACCCCTAGCTCCTTCCCCACCTCCTTTACCTGTGGCAAGGAGAGTCAGGCCGTCTCTCTCCAAGCCCCAAACCCTGGTGGGCTGCCTTCAGTGGGGGCTTTGTTCCAAGCCGTACGTGATGACCGAGTGTTCCGCGGACAGTGAGTTCTTTTTTCTCTGGTAACCACGGGTCTGAGGTGTCCCTTCCTCCTCCCTCACTTCCTTGCTGCTTCCTCCTCTGCAGCCCACCTGTCCTTACCGGCCACCTGCGCCTTGACTCAGATTCCCAGCACATGTGCCCCTTCGCTCCTCGGCCCTTGCAGGAACCCCTCTTGTCCTTTATATCCCCAGATCTTACAAATGATTTTCGTGTACCCTGTCTGATCTCCCCCCCGCCCAGGACTTCCCATTCATTCAAGCCTCCTGTTAATTTTCTAGCTGTTCCCAAAGACTGGACCACCWYCTTCTTTTTTTTTTTCCTTCTTTTTGGGTTGTCACCTGACTTCCTGGCTGCGTTGGACTGTTTAATATTCTCTTTAACTTGGCTTTTGGAATGCCCCTTTCCCGTCTCTGGCTGTCTCCTCAGTTCCCATTTTCTTGCTCATGCTCTTACACGTTCCTTAGATGAGCTCCTCTCTGGGAAGAACCCGGCTTTCTCTTGGCTCGCTGGTCTTCCTGCCGTCTCTGCAGATGGCTTCCTGGGCCCAGCGTATTTGCATTTGCCTGTTGACTCCTCCTGGAGGAATGTATCTGTACCTCAGACCCAGTATGTCCACCACCTACTCTCGTCCTGTGCTTCCACAGCCTGTCCTTGCTGAGCCCACAGCACTTCTGCCCACTGCTGTCCCCAACCTGAGCATCTTGAACTTGGTCTCCTCTCTCCCTGCAAAAGCTTCTCGCCATCGCCCTGTGAAAGCTCCAATGATATGATCCGGCAGAGCTTCGGTTCCTGCAGGGGAACTGCCACCATGATGCCTCTGCCCCCGGCTTCTCCTCCTCTTTTCCGCAGTGACCCCAGGTTTTCCACTGGTGCCTGCTGGTGCACCCCATCTGCCAGTCACCCCTGTTGAATGCTGTGCTGGCTCCTGTTTTAACTGTGACAGTCATGGCCATACATGTCAGCTTTATCTTCTGTCCCCCTCTCTCACCCTGTGTTGAAGCCACCTCTTTAGTACTGAGAGTTTCTAAAAAAGCCGTGACAGCACTGTCGTCATGGCTCTCCCCCTAAAGTGAGAACCTTAATGTGCCTCCAGGCTGCCTGCAGCCCCACCACCTCACACAGGGCCTGATTTCYAGCTTGCTGGCACCTGCCCTGCCAATTCTCACTGGCCAACCTCCACGGTCACGTGAGCCAAATGCTGAAAGGAAGTCTCTCTCCATCCATATTTATGTGTGTACATATACACATACATATGTGTGTGTGCGCGCGCACGTATGCTCTCCAGAGAATCCTAATAACAGTGTCTTTAGGCCAATATAGCTGTGGCCTCTCACAGAAGCAGATGAATGCACTATGTGAGTGAAAGTGGGGTAGAGAGCAGTCTGAGTGCCAAGAATATATAGGTTAAGGGTCAATGAGAGGATAATTTTGATGCTATTATGAGAACTTGTACATGAAAAGAAATTATGCAAATCCAAAGCTTTGCATAAGTCAAGGATAGATGGAAAACCTCTTTCTATATAGACTGGGATTTGTTGTGTAGGAGGCCCAGCTGTACGTGGTCAGTACTTTCTGTTCATTTATGGTTTGATTCTCCTATTTATGACATGGATATTGTTACTGCCCAGATAATGGGAGAGGTTCTGATCTGGTCAATATTGGCTGAAGCACCTTTTACTGGGGCTCAGTAAGCTAGGAACGTGTCTTTTCAGTTTCTGTTTGGGCCCCACAGGATTTCTTTATGTGGTGTTTAAAAAACAACAAAACAAAACAAAACACAACTACTCAGTGACACTTGCTAAAACCTGGTAAGGCTGACTTTGTTCAGGCCCGTTGTGGTAGGTGTGGGGCTCACGGATATGGGATTTTGCAGAGGAGGAGAAAGATTGGGCTCAACTCTGAACACAGCAAGGGCAAGAGGAAATTATAGCCAGGGAGCAGGATAGGAAAAAATTACAAAAAAAAAAAAATGGATAAAAAATTACAAAGAAAATATCGAGCCGGGGGATTCTAGGTAAGCCTAACAGGATTCTTGCTGGTGATAGGCCAGTATAATCAGACGCCTGGGTGTTGGCAGAGGATGAAGAACCTGATTAGATATCAAGGATGATCAGGTACTGAGAGTGGAGGGTTCTCGTTGATCTGACTTAGCAGAGTTCTGCTAATGCTGAGTTGATAAGGAAATACACAGATAAGGCAAGAAGGTTCCGAATCCTAACTAAAGTTTGATCAGGCGAAGAATCATTTTGTCAATGTTGCAGGCATATGTTTTGCTATTATAACAGGATGTGGTGGCTTTATTAATGTGTCAGCTTGGCTAGGCTGAACACCTGTGCCCAGAATTCTCATTCCTGTGTTCCCTGGTTAAAGTGGGCTATGGAGAGTGTCCTGGGGGACTTCAAGGCAGAGGACGGTGGCTGCCATTTTGAGTGCACTTGTGTAGTTGCTCAGGCCACAGCAAGGCCTGGAGCAGCTTCGCCTCCCCAGATCTCCACCAGCACCTCTGACATCTGAGCCAGGTATGTGTAGCTATAACACAGGGCCTGGCTTCTACAGGCCACCTTCATCACCAAGGTCGGGGGCTTGATTGTCCTTGAAGGCTCCACTGTAACTACCCAGGACCTCAGGTGACTTTGTAATGAGATTTCAAGCACATCTCTTACGTCTTTTGTTTTGGGACCTATCTTGTTTCCCTTAAGTCACAACTCTGCTCTCCACACTGACAGCCACCAACCTGTGATCGGCCCTTAAGTCTCCTTTACATCCCTGTTCCTGAGTGGAGGTGGCCACCTTGATGTGGTCAGGCATCTATGAAGGGACAGTCCTGGATTTCAGGGGCAAGTACCATTCCTGCCTCATATCTTCCACTCCAATCTAGTCTCCTTCCTCAGTTATTCTATGATGTATAGTAATTTGTTGTGATTGTTTTGGCTTTTCTTATCTAATTGGTCTTAACTATTTCAGGTGAATGACCATCTTCTGAAATAGTTCAACTTGGTATTTGACTACTATGTGTAGGTAATATTACCTAAAAGTCCACTGCTCATTGAAATGAAGAATTAAACATCTGAAATTAATTGTGTAAATATCATTTTATTGGTTAAAAAAAAATCCCTGAGTGATAGGTCACTTGGAATACTATACACATTTTAACTTCTTTGAGCCAAAAAAGAAAAATTGCAACATGCTTTGCTTTAATGTAAAAATCAATTTATTATATATCATACAGAATGCTTTTTATCTACAAAGAAAAATGGCTCTTCTGTCTCCCTGTCCACCCTAATCATGATATTATTTAGATATATACACTTTCAAAGGAAAACAAGAAAGTGATATGCTTATTTTCTAAATAAGTACTCCTCAGAAACATAAAATGCTACGGAAATATTGGGGGAAAACTAGAATCGTCTCTTACATACAAAATGCGATTTTTCCATTTCAGTAAGTCCTGTTTTTCTTTAAAGGTAAGAAACACTTCTCTGATGGGGGTGGAGGGGACTTGATCCACCAATATGTCTAAATAAGTGCTTTTGATAGGTTGAAAAAGTTTTAATTCTATTCAGCAAACAAATCCATTTTAGTTTTAAAAATTTGGGGGAATTATTAACAAACAGGCTTTATCATACTTATGTATGTGTTTTCATTCCCACAAGTAGGTGGAAATTGACTTGTAAAAACATTTTCTATTTCTTAATAGATTATATAGATAGTATTTCTTTTACAGTTATGCTTTAGAAAAATCACATTAAACAAACATTTTTAAATGTTTTTTTAAAGTCATAGCACTTAATAACAGGTTAAAATATTTACCTGATTGAATTTCTGTGGCTCAGATCTCATAGCTCTGTGCACTTTTTATCAGCCCTCGAATGGTTTAAGGCTCTGAGTGTTTTATTAAGCTTTAGTAGAATTCACCTCCACTTAGCAGTTTCACACTGCCATATGCTGACAGCTGCTTGACTTTGTCCACCGGCCGAAGGGTGACTCCCTCTGTGCTCTACAGATGTGAAGCCCGTGAAAACATCCAACATTGCAGGTGTCGTCCTGGTGAGACTTCAGGGCCTTGTTGGCAAGTAAGAGTAAGCTGAATACAGTGACGATAAGCTGATGATACAAACACAAGCTGAGTACAATGTCATCTCCCGAGTTTCATATTTACCTGGAATGTACTTTGGTAACAGATTTCAGCCTGTGTCTGAGAACTAAACAGAACCCGGTTTCTCTAAGGGACTTTCTCCTTAGTCAAGTCTGCACCTTGTCATAGAAGAGCAGTAACAGTCATACTCCAAGTTAGCCCTTTTTTAAAAATGAATTCCTGGGAGTGAACAGTACACTAAATACAGTTAAAGTGATGAATGATGCAAGTGAGATTGAGCACCCTAGAGCAAGTCACCTCTTGACAACCATTTAGGAAATAGAGCAGCTGGGGGTGTGGCACATGCCTGGAATCCCAGCAACTAAGGAGGCTGAGGCAGGAGGACTGAAAATTTGAGGTCAGCCCGGGCAACTTAGGGAGATCTTGGCTCAAAAAAGGCTGGGGATTTGGCTCAGTGGTAGAGTGCCCCTGAGTTCAAACCCCATTACCAGAACAGGGTTGTGAAGAAGAAAAAGAGAGCAGGCATGAGACAGGAAGAGGGGTCTGTTCCACAGAAATGACCAGTCAGAAGAGAGAAGCTGTCACAGGGCAGGAAGAATTCACCTGAAGTCCACGCAGCGTTAGTCACCTTTCAACCACACAGGCCAGAGTCCTGAGAAAGGGGAGCTGATGTGAGATGAATGTTTAAAAAGTTGGTCTACTTTTCAACAGGGAGAATTTAAAACTAAAGCTCTGGAGGGGACAGAAGGGACTGAATGGCACCAAGGCTGGCAAAGTGGTGAGAATTTTTCAGTGCCCGTGTACCTAATATTAATGTTATGACCTAAAAACTTTTATCTTAAAAAAAACTGAGATGGGAAAGAAGATAAATTAATCCTTTGTTTTCATTCTTGGTACAGTTAATAGTGATTAACAGCCCGGCACTGAGGGAGAAAGGGAATGTTCAGTGCTGCCTTGGCCTTTGTGCTTGTTCTCAGAGATCAGTGCTGAGCTGGGAAAGGATGTGTCGAGTTTGCCAAACTGGCACTGTCACTGTGCTCATCACCAGCCTGTGGCTCAGAGCCAGAGCCTTTCCAAACTATGACAGTGTTTTCTGTCTATTTTCAAATACTTAAATAACCTACAAAGATTGATAGCAAGGATTTGGAATAATATTCATGAATAGGCTCACAAAAAACAGACAAGTCTGACTTACCCCCATTTCTCTGTGAATTCTGATGGTAAGTGTTCCGGTGGCACAGACATTGTAGGAAAAGAGTGGGCTGGACTGCAGTCCTTCTTCACAAAGAAACAAGCAGCCAGTTTGGGAGACAGCTTTAGTCTGGAGCTCAGACCTTTACTAACCTAGGCTAGCTAACAAGGGAGATGGACATGAATATTTAAATTGTTAAGGAAACCAAATTAAAACAGGGAGACTCCTGTATCCAAAGCCCCTGAGAAATGAGGATTTCGCAGAAATTTTTCAAAATAATTTTAAGATTAGTTTAAGATTAAACAAAAGATTAACAAATTTCATTGCCAGATTACTAATTTAGAATCAGAAGTGGTTGTGACAGTTTGATAAACAAGGCTCTGGCCTGAGAGGTTTGACTAGATTTTTGTCTTCACTTTCTGATCCCATTTTAATATTTTCTGTGGTTGATTCCTTTGTGCACTGACGATTATTGCTTACTGCATATTAGATCATGTCGATATTTACAATACAACGTTTTGTTTGACAGTTTAATCTGAACAACACTCCACTTGAAGACTTGCCATGAATGACAGTGCCCCACACCTCCTGGCCTTGGACGTGTGTGTGGCGTTACAGAGTGCACCTAGGAAGGGTGAGTCTGCACGGAGGGAGGGGGCATCTGCTCTGAAGTTTCAGGGTCCAGCATCGCCTCGATGCTGACCAAAGCATTAATGGATTAACCTAGTAGCAATATATTAATACATTCTGGTACAAATGATTTTATAAACTCAGAAGAAATTAGTTTATGCTAAAACATACAACTTTCAATTCAGTCTTTGCTTTAAAACAAGCGGACTTGTTGGGCTGATGCCAGGCATGCGTTCCCTGTCACTCTGTCATTGGGCTTTCTTGCTTATCACTCCATTCACTTCGGCGAAGCAGGCTTTGGAAAAACCATTTCTGACTTCTTTTCCTGCAGGCAGCTCTTGCATGTCTTTTTTCATTGGCTTTTTTCGGTATGTCTGTTGGGTGTGTATATATAGGAGAGAAAGAAAAAAAATTCCTTAGTAAGACCTTATCTCTAAGGCTGCATATGGTTAAAACAGTCCATGAATTTCTTGGGCACTGTACTTTCTCCTAGGAATTCGTGTTTGAAATATGACCATGTTTAAGCCCCTCGTTAAAAACAGGGTAAAAGCAAGACAAATGTGTGATGTTAATGAGAGGTTCCCTTCATCTTATATTAGGTCAGGATTTCCACATTAAGGGATTAGCACTGAAATTTTTCTGCATTAGTTTCTTACTTGGAAAGGATATAATTTTTTAAAAAGATACCTCAAATGAAAAAGTGCTATTTTATTCTAAAAGACCAACAACTGGGTTATTGGATTGATTTGGCTTCAGAGTATCCTCCATTTTTGGTGCTGGAATCCGGGCCTCCCCACTGAGCATAACCCCAGCTGGGCATAGCCTTCCTTCTATGATAACTATCATCTCATTTTTACTACTAATAGTACTAAGAGTCAAGACTGTACTTACAGACTCAGCGTCAGGACTGAGATTTGATTTGAGCCAGCGTGTGGGGCTCAGGCTTCCATTGCCATTATCTACCGCTGCTGGGCTTCTACTTCCTGCCTAGGGTTAATATCCAGCACCTCAAACTCCCCACTTTCCTTTAACACTCCTCTGTGTGTGTGTGTGTGTGGCTTTGTTTGGGTCTGTCGACTATTATTTCTTAAGAGACAAAGCCTAGTCAGTCCAATTTCAGAAACACAAAATCTAAAAAGATGTCAAAGGTTTAGTCCTCCAGATGGACTCTATTTGCTTAAAACAATGATGAGTTCTCTTGTTCACCAAACTAAAAAATAAGAGCATTTCTTGTTCAAAAGAAACCGCAAATGAACACAATTTCTGAAGTACTGTTTTGAATGTAAATATGCCTTTTTTTTTTTTAAAAAGGAAGCATTCCATTTCCCCAGCCCACAAAGGAGTGCAATTTAAAATCTACAACCCACTGAGGCCTATGCTCTGTCATAGCTTTCATAGGTTCTTGCAAAACAGTCACTTTGAAATTGCATTTTGAAGCTCTAATTGTTAAAAAGAAAATGACACTTAATAAACAAAAAGCCAGTGTAACCTTTCCACACTAATTGGCCTTAAGGAATTTTATCCAAATGATCTATAACACTATGATATATTAAAAAATAATGTCCCATTTTTCTCCATTCATGTAAGTTTCCTAGATCTGTCTCACACCTGATTAATTTTCAGAATGCAAATACATGATGCAAACAATATAACTCGGTATTTCTGATAAATGTTTTTCAATGCAATGCACATAGAGTTTTAGTAGAATACCCCCTAGACTATTAACTGTGGTTCTTCTTTGAGTAGGAGGCCATAGGGAGAGAAATCAGAATGCAAGTTTTATTTTTTCATTTACAAACCCATCATCTAAATTCATCCACAAGCATCTGCTTAATATTTAATCAGTAAAATTACAAACATATAATGCAAAGTGCACATATGCTGTGTTTTGCTACAAATATTTCTATTTCACATACCTGAACATAAAAATTTAAGAACAGGACGACTAGTGTCATCATATAGGAGGACTGGAAGATGAGGCAACCAAAGGGGAAGCCACAGGGCTTCACAACGGCACTCAGCGTGTGGGTGATGGTGAGCAGGAACTGCACCTGCAGGGGCACAGAGGGCCAGAGTGAGCGAGTTCTGCTCCCCCGGGCCCAGGGACCTCCTCAGTCAGATCAACTCCTGTCATGCTCTACATTTTTCAGGAATGAAACAAGCACAATGCTGAGGCAGCCCTCTATCCTATCCAGGAACTATCTGAACTTAGTAATGGCAATGTTATATAATTACCAATATAAGTTTCTTATGAAGAAGCAGCAGCTAAAGTTATTTAAATAAAAATGTTTAGCTTATAATTTAAAAAATATTCATCTATTTCAGAGCAAGGATCTTCTCATCATAAATTGTATATATACAAACATTTTAATTCACAAAATAATTCTTAAAGGCTCTTAGAGAAAAATAGGCATCCTCATCACATGTAGAGAGGCCTCTGATGTCCAAAAGACAGATTCCTACTTCCTACTCCTCCATGAGCCATATGGAGAGAGCTGGGAGTGACATACCAGCTGAGCCTGTGTGAGGTATTTCTTCCACCAAAGGTACTTGTGCATGGATGGAAACACAGAGAGTCCATAATAGGAGTACATTAGAATGTGGATAAAGCTGTTCAGTGTTGGTCCAAAGAAACCTAGGAAAGTATAGCATGAGTTACTATTTTATAAAATAAGACTGTTCATTCTCCTTTGTCTAGTGATATTCTTCCTGTGCGTAATAACTAAAAATTAATAGGTAAAGGACAATCATATGATGAACTTCATGCTGATAAATTTCCCAATTATTGTGCTATTGCCCTAAGATTTGGCAGAAACTTCTGGATTGAAGTAAACTGGGATACTTTTTCAGCCAGAGTGCCACCCAGTTCTTATTTGCAAAGTTTTAACTATCTCTTTGTCATTACAATAGCTAATGGGGGTGGGGGTGGGGCAGATAACTTAGAGCTAGAGGCAGAGTTCCTCTTAACCAGAACTATCTTTACTTTGACTAAACCTTGGATGGGAAAAAGCCTCCTGTGGGCAGCAGGTTATCATTCAGGGAAAGAGTGCTTGTCCAGGGTGCACAAGCTGTTATGACACTTGGATTTACATAGAAAACACAGATATAGTGTGAGTATCAGGAGACACGTTAGTGATATTTACTTGAGTTTTTATTTCTATCAATTAGTGAATGATCATTGCTTAAGGTTTTTATAATACTCTTGAGTGGAAACTATCACATTATTTATAGGACTTTTTACACAATGATTTAAGATTTAGGTACTAATTTGTAATGAAACTTGATAAAAAATACTAACCTTCGAAATTCTCCTTTGATAGTTATTATAGTCTTCTTTAAGTATCAAATTTGTAAAAAAGTAGATTCTGTCTAGGAGGAGTGTGGAAAGCATTCCTTTCTGCCTACTGCATCCCTACCAGTTTCCCTCCTGACACTAGTTTTTATTTGCATCTTCAGTCAGTGATATAAAGTGGTCCCTGACCTGATAGCTTTACTTCAACCCTATGATGGTGTGAAAGTGATGCAGTCAGTAGAAACCACAACTAGGATTCTGAGTGTTAGCCAGGGGGCTAGTGGTATGTGCTGTAATACTCATGATGCTGGGGAGCTGCGGCTCTCAGGCAACCCTGGGGTCACAGGAGGAACAACCCACACTGCCAGATGCTGTGCTGCTGTTGGGATGTTTGATAGGTTGGTTGTATTAACTGTGTTTTTGACTTATGAAATTTTTTAACTCACAGTGGGTATACCAGGATGTGGCTCCATACATCTGCACTCCAAATTTTCTTGGGATTGTTTTCTATTTCCACAAAGACATTGAATTGTAAAACAAAAGAATTTTCTTAAATTTTACCTGTTCTGATTTTTCATAGGATATTTTCAAATTGGGGGGATAACACATTATAAAATAGAAACTCCTGTTCTTTCCAGCTCAGTGCTTCTCAAACTGCAGTTTGTGACTGATGCAGTAATGAACTGTGAAGTCAGTGCAGAGAGAACTGTCTGCTTTTTGTATTTTGACAAGTGAAATAGAATTTACAAAAAAAAAAAAAACCCACAGTAAATACTGTTACCTGAAATTTTTGTTTCATAAAAAATTGTATATACCACAGTATATCAGGAAGAGCCACAGTTGGCCAAGTGAGGTGCACACCTGTAAGCCCCTCAACTTGGGAGGCTGAGGCAGGAGGATTGCAAGTTTTTAAAGCCATTCTTGATAACTTAGCAAGACCCTCTCTCAAAATAGGGATAGGGATATAGCTCAGTGGTTAAATGCTCCTGGGTTTAATCCCTGATTTTAATAAGAAAAAAAAGTCACCGTATATATTTAATGAAATTTTTGTTTCACACACAATACATAATATGAATAAGTGGGCTGGATTGTGAAATAAAATATATTTTGTACTGCAGTTCTCAGTTAACAAAATTGAAAGTCATTGCTCTAGTGGGTCACACAAAGATGTTATCTTAATTTTTCAGAATGTAAAAACAAGCCCTAAGAGCTAAATAACTCTATATCACAACCAAGTGGTAACTCTTGAAGGTGCCACTTTCCACAGGAACCAAACAGAACCTATACCAGAGTTGGTCTGCTCTGGCTGGGTGTGTGTCTCTGCCTTCTGACATCTGGTGTATGGGAAAGAAAATATTTTTAAAACTTAAAATTACATTCAGATTTTGCCAGCATCAAAGGATAGAAATTCAAAGGCCACTAGTGAGCACCTGCTTCCACAGCCCCACTCCCCACCCTATTGGGTGGCCTGTGAGAGCCATGGCATAAGACCAGAAACCAGCAGGGAACTTACTCTGTCCACAGGGTATCCAGTTCAAGACACACCACCAGATGTTAAACATGGAGGCATGATGGTAGACATGAAGGAAAGTGATCTGATTTGTCTTTTTTCGCAAAACAAAGAAAATTGTGTCCAGGAACTCTACTAATTTGGAGAAGTAGTACCACCATAGCACCTTGGCTACCTATAAAAATTTAAAAAGGGGAGAAAGGTGTGAGAAGTGAAAATGTCCCTGCATAGCCCTACCGCTCATCCTGCCTTCCATACACCACCTGTGCATTACCAGCGTGTGTCTTGTTCTCAGACTACTTACTGCTAGTCCAGAGTCTTTGCCTCCAGTTTCTCCTCATTCTAGGCAGTATACCCTGCTCAAGTGAAAGTCGGATTTTCTTCCCAAAATACCTATGTGTCCAAGCTACCACTCAGCACCTACAAAACTAAGTGGATTCCTCATCACTGTAGTCTGGTACCATGTAAGTCATCTGCATTCTCCTACTCGAGTGCCAAGGACTCTTCTTCCTGCATCCAACACTCCTGTCCTACCTCCAGGTCAGTCATGTTTTAGTCATCCTTTATTAATACTCCTTCAATGCCACCACCTCCTCTGGAACGTGCCCAATCTTTTCCTTTCCTTTCCTTAGGTGGAACCAGTGGCTTCATGTATAGTCTTAAATTACTTGCCTACATCTCTATAATCAACCACCATTAAAGTCTAGCAAGTGTTGTGAACCTACTGTTGGACTGCATATAACTCAGAGGCAGAGACGGTCTCATTCAGACTTGTGCAGTATGTAGCTCTCAACAGGTCATTACTGTTTGTTATACTAAATTATAATTCTTCTGTGCTCTAATGTACCTGTTTCTCTCAAACATTATATTACCTAAAAAAAAGTCTGACTACATCATTTATGCCTCTGAGAGAAAGAGATTAAAAGTCAAGAAGTACTTTGTCCTTACTAACATTGATAGGTCATGATTACCAATTTGCTTTCCTTCCAATGCCCTTTACATAGTCTTATCTACCTAGAAATACCTCATTACTTAGTTAAGAGCATGGTGTTTTTTGTTTTTAATGTGTTTGTTTATGCATTGTAGTTATTCCTAATTGTTGAGTTTATGTCAACATACATGCATGGAATTTTGTCCATTTCAGTCCTCAGTGCCTCCTCTTTCCCTCCCCACCCCCATTCCCCTTCTCTACTGGTCTTGCATTTATTATTATTATTAAAAATATTTTTAGTTGTAGATGGACACAATATCTTTATGTGGTGCTGAGGAGCGAACCCCAGTGCCTCACACGTGCAAGGCAAGAAGTGCTCTACCACTGAGCTACAGCCCCTCTTATAATTGGTGCTTTATAGATAAATGGGGAATTCACTTGTGACATACATGCTTGCTTAATTTTATCCACTTCATTCTGCATTTCCTCCCTTTTCCAGTCCCTCCTCCACTGATCTTCCTATAATATCTGACCCCCCCTTGGCCCCCCACTTTTTCCCCTTATTTTGCTCTAGCTTCCGCAAAAGGAGCTTGGTGATTTAAACATTTTTGAAGAGGTTAGATAATAGGAATCTTGAAATTAGATTATCATGCTATACTGTCTACTTCTCAAGACATTCATGAGATAGTGGCATTCTTCTTAATGTCTGGAACAATTAGCCTTCAGAAATATTAATACATTTAGAATGGCAACTTTGAGCAGACTCTTTTCCCAATATGCACTAGCCTGTAATAATACATTAGAAATAAAATGGGTATAGAGAAACCTACATCTTACTTTAAAACATATCATCTTTTATTGATAACCCTCAAAGTCTTTTATTACAGAAATCTCAAACATTCTCTAATACAGGAAGAATAACTGTGTCCATCCTTAAACTTTGAGAATTTTCAATATGACTCCAATTTTAGTTTTCTCAATTCCTAAAGCATTTTTGTGGGGTGCGGTAGATCATTATAAGCAATTTCAAGACATCATTTTATCTATAAATATTCCTAATGAACTTTTATTTTAACAAACCATGAGTCATTATCTTATCCATACAATTTACTTCTAAATATCTTCTAATAGCCTTTCTTATTTAAATCAGGATCCAAACAAGGTCCACACTGAAATTTTATTGATATGGTCTTAAAGTTACTCATCTTGTTCCTTCCTTTTATCCCCACTCCCCATATCTTTTTCTTAAAACTCCCATCAGTTATACAGAACTCCTCATATTTTGGACTTGGATGTTTATTTTCTCTAACCATCTCTGCCATATCTCTAACTTGCAATTAGATTTTTAATTATTTTTTTGTAAATATACCAAATAATGAAAACTAGCTACTCATCACTGAATTTCAAGAATTTTCAGTATGACTCTCATTTTCTCGATTCTAATTCCTACCACTTTCTTTGGCAGGGGCTGGGGTGTAGACCATTATTTATCAACATGCAGGTCTGCCAGGTAGGATTTCTGTTGTTTCAAGTTCACTTCCCCGCTGCTCCAGTGATGTTCAGAGGGGCAGTGAGCTCGGGTATGTAGGAGCTACAAAACGGCAATTTTTCTGTTATTTGGTGCTTTTTTTTTTTTTCCTACAACAAAGATTTACCCTTTTCATCTCTTTGGAAACTTGGATATAAAATGCAAAATGATGGTCTGGCAACTTTCATAAGATTTTTTTTAAACTCCAATTTTAAAAATACATTTAGTATGTTTCAGTCCATCCCAGTCAATGTTCTTTTATATAGTGTCCCATCGCCAGTGGGCATTCCTTTAAGGTGGCCCCTTCATGTCATGATGCTTATAATGTTTCTTTGCTTTGGGTCACTGGATGTCCTGGGTTTACCTGAAATACATTCTCTGCCCCAAACTGGAATTTGGCCACTTGGCTCTAAGAACCCTCATTCCTTGGGGTAGAAAATTATATTTTGAGAGCACTTCTGGATAAGCATGGCTCACTGCCCTGGGCTGTCATAGACAAAGCAAATATTTTTTAAGAAGTATAATTTTATTATTTCTAATTTGTATGGTTACTGGGTTTTAGTTTAACTTTTAAAAATGTCTTTTCTTTGTTTCAAATATTAGTTACTTATATAACTTACATATTTTATCCTAAAATGTCCCTGTAAGAGTCTCAGAATAGTAATAGCAACAAAAAATCCTTCTAAAGGTATCTCATTAGGGACATCCACTCAAAAGCTTTTAAGTGGCCATGTCCTTACTTAATAAGTATACTTAAGGTATACTCATTGATTTGTTTCTAAATTTTTTGGGGGAAGATGCTTTACTTTCTTTTTATAATTACATAAAACAGTTAATGGTTCCAAAATATAACCGACTCTAGCTTTCATCCCTATTCCTCTGTCTCTCAAACAATTTTGAATAGCTTTTGGTTTATCCTGCCATTGTTTCAAGAATATGAGTAAATACACATAATCTCTTGACTATAGGTGCTATACAATAACCATGGTCTGCCAGCAAAGCAACCTCAAGATGATTCTGTAACATAGATGCCCTTGTTCCATTCTGTGGATGTGCCATGGTTTATTGAGCCAGTATCCTTCAGATGAACATTCAGAAGATATTTTTGTTACCAAACATTTCTACTGGAACAGGAACCCGTTATCTCATCCCAGCCCACCCTCACATGTGGAGGAAGAGCCTCCTCTCCTTTCAGTGAGAAATGGTAACAGATGGTTGTCTTGTTTCTAACAGCTCACCCTGATATCGCCTTCCCCAGCGCTGGTGAGATCTTGACACTGTAAGTTGTAGCCTCCTTCCCAACTGGAGAGAATGAGCTGTCAAGGAATCAAGAAAGGAGGGTTGGTTCAACATAAGAATTTGGAAGCAATTCCCCCCCACTTTTTTTTAACATACATGACAATAATGGAGTGTATTACACACATTATTGGCAACCATTCAAGGTTTGAGTACAAATGTCCCAGATTTTGTATTTAATCCAACCCTATCCTTAAACATTATCAAGGGATTTAATTCTTGAGGTTAAACTGAAACCAGTGGTTTTCTTTACAAAATTTTGTGTAATCATCTATTTCAACAACTAAGATGTAGAATTAATTGAATAAAAATTGAGTAAGGAAAGCCGGGCACATGCCTATAGTTACAGTGACTCAGAAGGATCATGAGTTCAAAGCCAGCCTCAGCAAAAGTAAGGTGCTAAGCCACTCAGTGAGACCCTTCTCTACATAAAATACAAAATAGGGCTGGGGATGTGGCTCAGTAGTCAAGTGCCCCCGAGTTCAATTCTGAGTACTGCCCCCCACCCAAAGTGTAAGGAAACCACTAAAATTTAATGTGTTGTTTGTATAATTTCATGAAATATATACCTATTGTCATTTTAAAGATCAACCATTTTCTTCACCGTATTTATGCTACTTGGTAAGTTTCATGATTAGTTAAAATCTTCTTACTCTTAAAGCAAAACAAACAAAAACCACAAACAGAGCTCTGCAAAACCTATGCTACTTCCAGCTCCTCTGTGTCTAGAGTCTTTGCCAGATACCTTGTTACAGTACTTGATGGATGAATGGTCTGTTCAGAGTTACACGGCTAGAGGTGGGAGAACCATTTGACTAAAGATCAAACTTCCTAAATCACTGTTCTTTCTCAACCTGGTAAGAAAATGTTAAATTCTCTCCCTGTAGGGGCTGGGGATGTGGCTCAAGCGGTAGCGCGCTCGCCTGGCATGCGTGCGGCCCGGGTTCGATCCTCAGCACCACATACAAACAAAGAAGTTGTGTCCACCGAGAACTAAAAAATAAATATTAAAAATTCTCTCTCTTAAAAAAAAAAAATCTCCCTGTAAAAATGCAAGATTCTGGAACATTTGGCTCTGATTCCACAAAGTATAACAGACAAAAGGCCCAATATTTCCTGCTGTCCTAGAGATTGTAAAGGTATAGATCTGTTAAAACACTAAACCTTAAAAAGAGATGGACTACTAACATTTAGAAGGTTTCAGAACCTTTGTCTTTTTTTCACTGTTCTGATGATTCTCTTTCCCTTTAAGAAAACACCTTTCAGTTACCATAATTAAAGATTATCAGGACAAACAAATCCAGTGAAAGAAGCAAGACTTGGATTTTCCTGATGGGGAAATGACTTGATTGGTAATAGAGCTCAACAAATCCCAGAGCTGTAAGCTCCTGTTCTTACCTGGGAACAGTGACAAGCCAGACAGATCTAGGGACTACTTTAGAGGATATGCCAATTTCACATTGGTGCATTTTTTTCAAACTAAGAAAGCTGTTTAACTTTGTGTACAATAATTGACTTAAAAATTTATGGTTAGGCTGCAGTTTTGTAGCATAGAGTTCTAATCGCTATTCTCCATGCTAAAAAAAAAAAAGTCATGGAGCAAGCCAGGGCACGTTCTCTATGACAGACTGCTTTAACCAGATTTAGTCAGGCTGATCCCATCCATGTGTCACCTGTCAGAGCTACCTTCATAGCAGAATAAGCAGCCAAGCCACAGAATGATCCAGTGTGAGGCAGGACGGCTATGTTGAAGAAAATGAAACAAGTCTGTCAAATAGGGTTAGCCTTGGCAGGTATAAACTAAATCACTCCAGAACATCCCTAGAGTTCATCCACTGCTCTAATCCAAGTTCAGTTCAGTTCAGTTTGCTTTTACAAATCTAGCAACTTGCCTTTACCTTGTCTAAGGGACAGTCTTTCTTTGCTACACAGAGAAACTAAACCATAAATCACTACCATGCAAACTTACCTAGTGTACTAAAATTCATCTTGTAAAGAATCCAAAATAAAAACTTTTTTCAGTACCAGGTAAAATTAGGATTTTAGAGTTGTCAGCATGGCTTTCCTGATCCCTAAAATTTCATTAGAGATTCATTCCACTCAAGATAATGGCTATTATACATTATTAGAATGGCACATATTAGAAGTCTGGTGTGGTGAAGTGCATCTGTAATCCCAGGGACTTGGGAGGCTGAGGTGAGGCAGGAAGACTTGATTGCCAGACCCTCTCTCGAAAAAGGGTAAGGAATGGGAGAATGTTCCTCAAATTACACTTGAGTTTAATTCCGCATATTAGAATAAGACACAGAATAAACTCCAGATGAGAAAACCTATTTTAAGGCAAGGATTTAATTCAAACACAGCAGGAAGTTTTGGTCATTATCAGTCATGTATAACTTGGGTCTGGTGCGTGCTGCAGCTTGGCCCTCCAGAAGTCAGTCTTGAGGGACAACTGACAAAGATGTGGTTGCATTCTTTAAGGGTAGGTGTATGCATGTATATGTGTACACATAACATTTATATGCATGTATATTTGCATTTCAGTGAAACTGAATTTGACATCTAAAAAAAATACTTAGGTTAAAAAAACACATGATCTTTAAAGGCCCATTCAAATTTAAATGATCCCAAATTGCAATTAGACTAAGGATTAAAGAATAGGCCTAAAATGGAATAAGAAAAGTTCAAGTTAGAAACAAAGACTTCCAGAACTTTGGGAAGGAACCATGTCAAATGCTGGAACAAGTTCTTGAGATCTTAACAGTAATGACAGCAACTGTGGAGCATTCTGGTAGGCCAGATGTGACTGCTTCCTAAATTGACTGGGCCTCCAGCTTTGGCCAGAGATGCTTACCTCTATTAACATGTAGGCGGAGAGAAGTGTGATTCCAAGATTATACAAGGTGAGGATTCCCCTGAGAGAAAAAGCAGGTCTGTTCTTCATGTATTTGTTACCCAGCCATATTGAAAGCAAATATATGACAGTAAGAACAAAGGTAGGCAGGTAAGAGTCCAACATGAACCACCCTCTGACTCGGGAATCTGAAAAGAAGCACACAGAATCCCGAGGAACGAGGTTTTGGTTAGCAATACATTTTTTTATACAGCATTTCCCCCATTTTTCCGTTGAGGGGTACGATCCAAGATCACCCATGAACGCCATGTACTGTTTTTTACGATACACAAATTTAATGCCTTTTTTCATTTTCACTAAGCACTTACCACCACATACCATAGTCAAAACTTTTTTCCTTTACAATTTCATGGATAGATTTATTCTTAGGTTTTAGCAACCTCAGCATGGATTATTTTTAGTGATTCTGGCAAATTTGAATCTACCAATCTTGTACAGTGGGGCCATTATTAAGTAAAACAAGGGCTGTGATTACACATCCACAACCTCCCCCATAGGGAAAATCTAGATAGTCAGAAGGCACATTTTTATTGTAATTTCTAAAAACCACATTGCCTAGAATCATTTATACAATAAACCAGGAGTGGGATTATAATACAGCCAAAGATAACAAAGGAAGAATGAACAGCAGGGAGGTGAGAGCCTGAGTACATCATGTGCCCTGAATCTTTAAAAACCTGAAAAAAGCCCATGTGATAGCTTCATCATAGAACTGTTAACAATTGTAGACACAATGACTTGCTCTTTTTGTTTAAAGACCTAGAATTATAAAAATGGCATACTGTTTTTATTCTCCATAAACAGTTTAAGGAGCTGGTTTTGCCAATAGGCAAAGCCCTTTCCTTGATCAACTCCCCTAGTCTCAGTCCCTCTTCCCACTCTATCTACCAACCTTTAGTTAGACCACCTGTCCTAAAGAAGGCACCCTTTTTTGGAAAAAGTGCCTTGAGACCGGTGCCATTACTTACTCTGTACGCTTTTCCCACTGGCAATAAAGATAACTCTCACCCACCTCCCTCTTAATAACCAAAGCCTGTTCTATGTGCCACTTCCTGGTGTTCATTTCTGTGTAAATGTGGGCTGGGGCTATAGCTCAGTGGTAGAGCACTTGCCTTGCATGCTTGAGGCACTGGGTTCGATCCTCAGCACCCACGTAAAAATGTATCCAACTAAAAAAACTTTTTTAAAAAAGTCATCCTTTCTTGCCCAGATAAAAGGCCCTGCCTTCTGAAGGGAGCTTTTTCCTACTCTTTCATAACTACAGCTCCTCATTTACATAATAAGATTTTATTATGGCTATAACTGTTACTGAGCATTTATTCTGTTCCGAAGCCTGCATTAGTTTATTCTCAAAGCAATCCTATTATATAGGTGATATTATTCCCAGTTTGCTTTTGAGGAAAAGTAACATACTATCTCTATATGGTGGTGTATCCACCAAAAGATATGACAAAGCCCTAATTCCTGGTATCTGAATGTCACCTAATTTGGAAACAGGTCTTTGTAAATGTAACTGAGTTAGGATGAGTGGTGTCCTCTAAAGGGGGGAGGTTTGGATACAGGGACACAGAAGAGAAAATCATGTGGAGGCAGAGGCTAATGATGCATCAACAAGCCATGGAACCCCAGGGATTGACAACAACCACCAGAAACTTGTAGAGAAGCACAGAAGAGATTCTTCCCTATCACCTCAGGTGGGGAGAGGCTCTGCCAACACCTCAATTGCAGACTGCTGGCTTCTARAACAGAATAAATTTATTATTTTAACCTTCTAGTTTGCAGTACTTTGTTATAGCAGCTCTAGGAAAAGAGCACATCTAATTTAGTACTTAAAGCTAGCACATCTGTAATAATTGGAAAGCTGTTACCTTTCCAACTCTAGTATATGTACTAGGAGACAGTGAGCAGGTCTTATTAAAAATGTTGTATCTAAAAATTTTTGCTACAGTTCTTAAGAATGGTCATAATGCTCCAATAAAAACATGGGAACAAATGTAATGTTTCTTGAGAACGTGAGAATATTAGCTCTACATCTGTGTCAGGTACTGATACCACGTGTCCATAATCAGAAGACGGGACACCTAGAAGCTTAATAGGTTTCATGCCAGGCAATTTAAGCTAGGGCCATTTGAGGAAGGAAAAAGGATTCTTGACACTGAGATACTGAGCACCCTGTCACTGAGGAGGATGTGTGATTCAGTTGTCAATGGTACAATCTCCTTGCTACAGAGGAGAGCTTCCATTACAAACTGTCACAGCTGAGAAAACAAATGCAGTCCTTTCCTCCACAGAACTCATATCCACGTAACTCCACATCATGCTGATCTTACTGATAGCAAAGTTCAGTGTGAACTTGGCTCAGAGACGTTTTTAACTCCAGTGGATGTGCCCAGTAGAAAGCCAGTCACCTAAGTCACCTAATTCATAGTTCCTCCCAGTATCCTGCAGGCCTAGGCAAGAGGTTGCACCCTCTACCCTGACCTCCTTTACACCCACTAGACCTGCAAGGTATGGAATACATGAAAGTAGGTACGTAGACAGATCCTTTGTCCTGGTTACCCACGGGATCACCAAGAGGAGAGAATATGGAAAAAGTTTTTTTTTAAAAAAAAAAAAAAACAATCCATGACACACACGTATAATTTTTTTTTTTTTCACACTGGGGATTGAACCCAGGGCTGCTTTACCATTAAGCTACATCCCCAGCCTTTTTTATTTTCTATTTTGAGACAGGTTTTGCTAAGTTATTGAGGCTGTCCTCTAACTTGTGATCTTTCTGCCTAAGCCTCCCAAGTCACTGGGATTTCATGCGTGAGCCACTACTCCAACAGAGTATCATTACAACTATATAAATCATCACATTAACGTGGAACAGTTTACAAAGCCTGTATAGAACTGGGGGTTGAGAGGGATCAAAACAATATCTAAGGGGGATAAAGGGGGGGAAAAAGGAAGTTTTCCTTCCTTTTCCACCTAACAGAGTTGAGGAAATAACTTGAGAGAACAATAGATTTTCTACAGGTTTGTGAACCAGCAAGGCTCAAGTGGAACAAAACATTTTGTCTAGAATTCATTCATTTGCAAAATATCTAGTGCTATTACATTCCCAGAACTGTGATAAGCCCTGCAGAAACGCAGCCCTCCTTTCCGAATGTTACCCCACAGCATGGCACACCTGCTGTGGGTTAACAGTGGGTGTGCCGAGAAGGAAGCTTGGCAAGAAGCCGCCACAGAGGAAAGAGCCTCGCGTAAAGGGCACTGGTATCTATCTCAAGTGTGAGAAGGAGCAAACCTGACTGGGAAGTGGAACGGGAATAGAAGGGAGGAGGTCCATGCTCAAGGAACAGCACATAAAGGAACTGTAAGTATCTGAGGAATTAAAAGATGTTTCCAGTGCCTGGGTCAAAGCTGAGTAAGGAAGACTGGCACTGAGCTGGCCCAGCAGCTGGGGCTACATCATTCAAGGGTCTGTTGTCCATGACGAGAAGTTTGGTCCAACCACATGGGTACTAGAAAGACACTGATGAACTGTAAGATACAACACAGTAGGGATTTGGATCTTTAGAATATTATCCCAGCTGATGCTTCTTCATGAATGATTCCAAGGAGAGAGACTGTTAGGAGCTATGACAGTCTAAATTGCTGGTGATGGAGGAATGATYGAGACTTCCAAGCTCATTCCAAAGACCGGGGCAGAGAAGTTCACCCGTGCTTAAAGGCAGGAATTCTACAGATGACCGGGCAGTGAAGAATGGAGAGGGAAGAGGAAAAGCTACAGAGACACTGGAGGAAAACACCGCATGTCGTTCTCCGTGTTCCTGCTTCCTGCTCCCAGAACTCCAGTACCAGGTGAGGTCGAACAGGAGAAGAAACGGGCCCTGTGGGATGTTCTCGGAGGACATTAAAGGTGAGGGTGCTATACTGTTTTCAAGACACCAGAGACAACATAATCCTTTTCTATAATTAAATGGCATTTTTCCTGCTCTCAAGAGCTCACTCACCTCGAGGCCCAAACATATAATCCAAAAAAGCATTGATTTCATCATCGAAGGCCTTTAGATGCTCCTAAAGAGAGAAAGAAAACATTATTTAAGGTTATTCATTTTTCAACTCTCAAAATGCTACTGCCCCAACACAGTTACAGTCTCCAAGGGCCCAGCTTCAAGGAGTGTTGACTGCAAAGACTTAAACAGGAAATGCAGCCTCACCTTTCACAAGCTTGCAGAGACTTGGAAGGAAACAATCTCTTTCATTTCTCATTTCCTGGAAAACAGACTTGTTGCATTTAAACTCAATGCCTTTTACTTCTGGAATGCAACTGTTCCACAAGCAACTACCACTGATGCAACTGAGGAGCTATGTGTAAGCAACAGGGAAAGTCTTATGAAGAATATAAATGCATTTTTTAAATGGAAATTAAGCTGCATTATATTTCATGAGGCCAAATCTAAGTTTTAAAGAGGACTTTTTGAAGTAAGGAAATTGTGTACTACAGCTAATCTTTTTTAACCTTGTTTCAAAGTTTTTTTTTGTTTTTTTTTTTTTAAGCAACTACTTAATGTTATGGTAAAGAATGTCACTTGGGTGCACCAGATTAATTACTGTCATCTTAACTGTTCTTGGCTGGGGATGAATATTGCTAAGCATCTTAAGTTGGCCACTGTCAATTTGATCTACCTCTGATCCATGCACTTCTGCTGTTACACTGTCCCTGACCCTCTACACACTGTAGGTCTAACACTCCTCCTTAAGCAAAGGGAAGAAAAGAGCACAAGCCAGTGTTTCCAGAAGAGGATGGCTAACGAGGACTCGGGCCAGCAGACTGGTCCCTGGCTGGCTGTGGGTTAAATGGGGCAGCCTCAGGAAGTTCACACAGAGCAAGCTCTAGATTTAATAGCTGGAGTRCAGTCAAGACACCAAAGCATAAGTGCCAGAGAGGAGGAAGAAATCTTCTGGTGGCACCTGAAAAGAGGATCTGCCCAAGTGCAACTGGCATTAGCCACTTGGACCTGTTCTGGATTCGTGTCTTTGATCTGAGAGAAATTTCAAGGGAATTTAGATCTCTGGGAACTTCAGGAAGCCTGGGAGGGAGGATGGGACTACATTTACTAGCACCTACTACTGCTGACCAAGGCATTAATGACTTTGTTTTCCTTATTTCATAACATCTTTATAAAAATTATTTTGGCTAAATCAAGCCTGGAAGTTTCTCGACAATACTTTAAACTTTGGCTTCCATGTAGGGAGCCCTCCTGACTTGAGAAAGGTCAGTTACCTAACTTATCAGTGTGACAGCACAGGATCTGTGTGGTTGCTGGAATGGGCAGATCTGTCCAGAGGCCCATGATTCTCAACAGAGAAGGTTAAGAACCTAAAGGATGTACCTGCCCATGCAGCAGATACCAATGAAATCTTCCACTGCCATGTCTGTGAACAAATATTTAACATTTTAGTTTGTTTGCTAAGGTTCAAAATCCATTTTCCAAAATTTGTAGAGCTAGTAAAACTAATTAAAAGGCCACAAAACTCACTCTATAAACTTGCAGAAACTTATTCAAAGTGAAAGAGTAGAAACAAAAGAAGTAAAGATATGAAGAAAAGCAGAAAATGCAAAAAGATGAATATAAAGGGCATTCTTTCATTCACTTATGTATTCATTTATTAACCAGTTATTTGGGCATTGCCACAAGCCAGTACTATGTTAGATGCTAAAGCACAAAGTCAAATGAGACACGGTTCCTGTCTTTCCAGTTTTCAGTCTAGAAAGACTAACCAGCAAGTAAATTGAAAATCTCAGTGCCAGTACTTAAATATTATGAGAGATTTACAGAGATGTACTATAAGAAGACAGAAAAGTACTTTAATTTAGATCTCCGCCAAAGAGAAAGCTTCCGGGAAGAGATAAAGCTGTTGCTGAATTTTGAAATATTCTTCCATCGTCTAGATGGAGGAAAGAAAGAGCACACCAGGGAGAGACAGGTGTGTGGACAAGCACACCGGGCACCACTCACTTGGTAAATGTTCATCGCCAGGTTTTCTAGTAACCTGGAAAACAAATACAGCCAATGCAGGAAAATCAGAAGCCTAGTAAAAATTGCCTCTGGATTTCTGGGTCATTTCACATAGCGAGTAAGGAGGTTACACTGGGTGAGTAAAATATAAACAAAGTACACAGAATTTTGTGGTGTTAGTTAACTGAAGACAAACACAGCCAAGAATGATGCAGTAGAGCTTGGACAGGAAAATAACAACGTACATGTGCAAGTTCTACCTGTGCAAATGGAAAAGCATGCCGGGCAACTCAAGATTAGCATGATAATCCAGGAACAGAGAAAAACCAACTTCATACTCTGCTTCATTCAACATTTTTAATGAATTTATATGTCTGTCAGATAGTTGAAGACATAGAAGTGGTTGGCACAAAAGCATACAGATAATTGGGAAGGTGAGGCATATAGAAAGGTGAATAGCAAGAAATTGAGGGAGAGTCCAACTGTCAGGGTGAAAGATATAGGAGTGAAGAGTGAGATAGGTTTTTAAAGATAGTTAGAAACAAGATAGATTAGAAGGTAGGGGAACCGTCCTGCCTTCAGAACTGAGCAAGACAAGTGCTGTCCCGAGCTCTACACTTTTGAGGACTCTTCTCTAGTCATCCTTTGATATACCCCATCACACAGGAAAAAAAGTTATTTCGCCCAAGGAAACACATTTACCCATGGGCACAATGTCTCCTCTCCAGACTGTCTCAAGATCCCAAGGCCTCAGGACACTCTACCAACTAACCCGAACACACTTCTAAAACTCCTTGCCCCAACAAAAAAGTCCATGTTCCATGTTTGTGGTTGTGTGCAATAGATAGCTAAGGAACAGAAAGGATGGAAGCAAGGAGGATGTGTCCCTGATGACTTCTTACAGTGGGTGGGAATGTAAAATAGAACAATCACTTTCAAAACAGTTTGGCAGTAAAAACAAACATACACCCACTGTATGATCTAGCACCCCACTTCTGGGTATCCACCCAAGAGAAAAAAGAGAATATTTCCATGCATAGACTGGTATTAAAATATAGCAGCTCTGTAATAGCTAAAAATAGAAACCCGGAATGTCCACCAACAGGTGGTAAGTTGGGAACTGTCATATAATGAGACAGGTAGAGCATAAAATTATTATGCTGCATGAAGCAAGCTAGATTAAAGAATATATACTACATATTTCCATTTTTATAAAATTCTAGAAAATATAATTTATAGTGACAAAAAGCAGATCAGTGGTTGCTTAAGGACTGCAAAGGAAGAAACCAGAATATCCTTCAAAAATAAGAGTTAAGGACATCTGCACATATGCTTAAGTGAGAATTGGTAGCCAGCAGAACTGCACTATATAGCATGTTAAAGATGTCTTCACTAAAGATAAGTGATTCCACATGGAAAGTAGAATTTAGAGAAAATCAAAAGCAATCGAAATGGATCTCACTGAAGAGCCATAACGCAGAGCACCCTAACACAGGTGCTACCCTAACTCACGACTGCCTGTCTCTGCCAGCACCACCACTACTACCTCTTATGCCATCTCATCCCTACCCCAGGAAGCAGCACTGCTTAACACCTGGCTGATATCCTATGCCTGTTCCTTCTGCTAGCAGAAGACTGCTTGGAGGTGGGACAGTCTTCCTGGCAACTAAATGGGTAACTTCCCCCCCCCCCACACACACACACACTCCTGTGTCAGCCATCACCTTTTCTGGATATGTGGTAGACGGGAAAGCCAGGAAGGTCACATTTTACTTGTTGACACCATGATGCTCAATGAAACTCCCACCCTAACTGTATCAGCCGGGTCAACATTACCCCAAGTCTTCAATGCAAGGCCACTTCATGTCTGTGAACTGAAGGCGTGGAGCTTGGGGTCACCCAGAACACCACAACAGCCCACCTTTTCTTCAGAAAAGGCCGCCCTGCAGTCAGAATTTAACCACCAGGATCAAGGGCCATTTCACGGAAGCCAAGGCAGGAGGAAAGGCTAAAACAAACCCCACTACAAAACCCTGCTGTGCCGCTTCTGATCTCTAAAGGACCCCAGATTGAGCTGTCTTTCCTTCCTCTCTTCCTTCACTTCCTTTGTTACCTTCCCCTCTTCCATCTCCTTTCCTTCCTTTCTTCTCTCTCCATTCTTTGTCTTTAGCATCTGTCTACCATGACATTGTGTTGTATATAAAAAACCAGTGATTCAAGAGCTCAGTGTTTGTTCGGTTTTGTTGATAGTTTTATACATTTTGAAGACAACCAGAATAGCAATTCCTCAGCACAAACTCAGTGCTTTTTAAAATTAGCAAAAGCATCAAGATCACAAAACAGACTCTTACATGTAAAAGGAGACATGGATCCAAATCCTTTCTTCCTTGTGTTTCATAGTGAACTAAGTCTGAAGTGCTCGATGACAGCACATTAGGAGTTGGGACAGCCAGCTGAGGAATGGAGCATATTAGGATTAATCTGTCACKCCCTAATAGTTTCCCAGGTCATGGCTTAGGGTCAAGGCTGAGTTGTATAGACAGAGGAGAAGATGTGGCTCCTCTCAGGGACAAGGGAGGCAGTTTAGAGTACAGTCACACTATGAGCCAAACATAATGAGGCTTTTATATTGTAAAAGGGCTCAGGATGGTTGTCAAAAGTTGAGACCTCTTTTGGCAGACTGTTCCCAGCCAGTCCCTCAAGTATCTGAAGAAACTATATGTGTTCACATTTGTGACTGAAACTAAAAGGCTCAGACGATTGATAAGTGAACAGACACAAACACATCCAATTCTTTGGCTGCCATGCAGATGACCTGACAGTGTATATTATGCACATGTTACACTGACACTCTGAACTGCCTTTCGGGGACCTACTCACTCCATATCCCCACCTTCCCACTAGTGTTCTCTGGAGAGAGCAATGAATGAAGTTAGGTTGAGGGTAGGCAATGGGTGGGGGTACAACTACTCTAAATTGTTGTGTGTCTTACAGAATGATTTCCAAAACTGAAATCTTGGTCTAAATTAAGTCCTGAAAAATCAGAGG